ATGAAGTACGATCCTGAGCCACCTGCATCCATCGACTTCCCGCACATTTGCACAGGTCGTCACTCCATCTAGTGGGGGTGCTAAGAATCTCGCGAAATTAAAACTGTTCAATCCTTTAATACAATTCGATTTTATTAACTGATTTTACAGTTTTGTTTTATGTAATCTGAAGAAATAACCATCACATATATACAAACACTCAGACAAAAGAAACACATATGAACGCTAAACACAATGTTCAACTCGCAATAATTTTGCAGTACGCATCTGCAACGCTACGCGTGTTGCAAATGTCCATGGGCGGCGGTTACCACTTGACAACAGATGAACTTGCCAGCTCGCTTGCCACCTTCTCACATAAAAAAGCATATGTCCATAGTTCAAGGTCTGAATCAATGAATTTGGGCCACATGGGCTAAGCCGAACTCGATGCCGAAAGAATTTCCTAAATCGGTTCATAAACGACCGAGTTCTGAACCAACCGAATGGGGAACACCCTCCTTTCTCGAAGTCGGTTGAATAATACGAACTGGCGTAATAAGCAGCCCGTTCACGTCCCAAGAGTGCACAGCCTCGACGGATTACAATCCACGTTACGTGATAACTACGATAATGCGGGTCTATTTCGGTGCGTTCTTTGCTTCGCGATTGTTCTCTTGGTTGAATACGTGTCTCTTGGGGTCTGGATATTCTTCTGGTTGACGACAAAGAGGTCGAGCAACGATGACGTCATCATCGCGTTAGATGGTACAGTTTTCACTGTGCAAATCAGTCCTTACTTCCTAACTAAAAAAAGTTTGTATGTACGGATGTTTGTTACCCTTTCACGCAAAAACTACTGAATGGATTTTAATAAAACTTTACAATAATATAGCTTATCCATCAGAATAACACATTGGCTATAATTTATGAAGATACAACGGTCTGAATTTGAAATTGCTGAATTTTGGTATAAAGATAGATAGGACCGTGGAGAAGCAAATAAGCTACTCGAAGTAGTTATTCTGCGCAGACGAAGTTGCTGGCACCGGCTAGTAATAAATATTAAAAAAAGTGTTGGTACAATGATATTTTTTGATGACTCCGTGGCGCAGTTGCCAAGGTATTGGCTTCGGCATCGGGGGTTGTGGGTTCGATTCCCACACGGGACAACTATTTGTGCGACCCACAGATAGTTGTTTCGCATCTGGGTGCTTGTCCACGTGAAATTTTTGTTTGTAAAACGTCCTTACAACACAGGATAGATAATGTTATCCTAAGGCGAGGGCAATGTTTGTTTTTAAAAAAAAAATAAAAACAGCTTTTGCTGTTGCATGAACTCTGCAGCAACTCAGAGGCCATGGCGAGCATAGAGATTACAGAGAGGGTATGCACTAAAAGAAACTTACCAATTTTCTCTAAGCGATTGATGATAACAGAACAGGTCACTTAAATGGTATCCAAAGTTGTCTTTGAAAATGCCGTGAGATGTTGTTCGTTTTCTTAAACTCAAAAAAAAATATCAATTTGTTGTAACTCGTAGGTTTCAGTGTTTTGGGACATGCTTGTGTGTGATGACAGGGTATGCAAAGCTTTCTTGCATGTTTGCTTTATGCATGCTCCACGAATAATCCTTACTAATATTATAAACGCGAAAGTTTGTATGTATGGATGGATGTTTGTTACTCTTTCACGCAAATACTACTGAATGGATTTTAATGAAACTTTACAATAATATAGCTTATACATCAGAATAAGACATGGCTATAATTTATATACATATTTTTATGTATATCTGCATTCTGTCTGAATGTTATACCTTCAGCCTATTCTACGCAGACGTAGTTGCGCGCAGCAGCTAGTATATATAATGTAGAGCTATATGAGTTACGCCAATTAAAAAATAAAGTTGTCATAATATAAGACAGTGTATTATATCTGCTGTAGCGTACGAAAACTTTGAGTCTTTTCCCCAAATTGGGGTCACAGATCAATGCAACCGAGGCTCGGATATCGTATGACTCATTACTAGTATAAAAACAAAGACACGTAATTTTCCTACATTGAATAACAGTAGTCATTGTGCAAACAACTGTTATAAACTTATAATACAGATTTTTTTCTCATTCACGACGGAAGCAAAATAAGTAATCGCGAAATCTGAAATGACTGACGCCCGGTTGCTGAAACACCGACGCTCGGTTTCTGAAACACTGATCATCGTAGATGTTAACTAATCAGCTGTCAAAGGGCTTTTCAAATATCATTTGAGTTGCCAAAAGGATGGTTAAAGTCTTTGAATTCATCATTCGAATCATTAAGAAAATCATTCTGGGCAATTCAGAGAGTTAACCATCCTTTTGGCAAATAAAATTAAATTTGAAAAGTCATTTGACAGCTGATTACTTAACTTCTACGATGACCAGTGTTTCAGAAGCCGGGCGCGAGTTTTGAAGACTGTTTTAATATTGAAAAGATGTCACATTATCCCATGAGTTACTTACTAATACATAATCTTGTCTTTTAATGTTAGCGACGATATCAATTTCACACGGAACGCAAAATCCGGTGTTGCTGAATATCGCTTTATTTCTACGTCTAGGCAAAGTATTTAGCGTCTTCGTGTTGCAAACTGAAAGCTGCGTTATTTCTCCGCTAACTCAGTTACTCTTAGCGCCTTGCTATGCTATTTGATTGTCATATTAACGCTCAGCAAGAGAGTTTTATTTCGAAAACAACCTCAAACTCTGCCCCCTTTCAAACACTGCCCTGTGTAGGTTATTTTTACAAAAATTTCAATATACTACATGACACAAAACACTAAACACTTAACAATACATAACTGTTATTGATTTTTAACACTTTCGAAGCTATAGGCTTCGGTGCCTGCAGTTCGATCAGAAATTATAACCATTGTTGTCTCACAAATAATTTTTCCTAAACTGGTCAAAAGCCTCTGCGATACAGTATTATGTATTCCTATATTTGGGCTGTTTTAAGATAAAAACACTTTAAAATTTATTAATGCTCAAGTTATATGGCGGAAAGCTCATCCAAAAACAGACAATTTTTATATGCGAGAAGGTGGCAAGTGCGCTGGCGGTTCACATGATGTTACCTGACAATCGCCACCCATGGACTTTTGCCACAACCGTTGGGTTGCAGATGCCACCTTTCAATAAATTTGGCCCCTACTACCTCACTGTACGTTTAATAAAATGGGCTCCGCCTACCTGACCCCAGACGAAGTTTAATGTTTTAAAAAAAGTCGAACGATAGCAAATCGCACCTGAGATGTAATAATCATAAGACGCAATAACCGGTCAAGAATTGTCTGACTCACAATATACGTGAACCTGAATGATTTGAAAGTAATTTTTATTTATGTTGCGCAAACTATATATCCTTTTATCTGCTAGCATGTAGATGGCCTTCACAGCGGCTGTACTGTTTATATTGTTCATTTAAAGTGAAATTTGTTCGCTTTTACGTAACGTATCTTTCAAACTACTTGACTGTCTCTAGGTTACTTGGCTGTCCAATTCTTTTTAATTATCAAAATACCACGACTATCTTGGTAGAGAAGCCGATTTTTTATTTGGATTTCATGTAAATAAAAATTTTGTTGTATCTAAATAAAAGTTTAGTTGATTTTAGTATAGTTTAAATTTTAGTATAATTTTACCAGTAAAAATGTATCAAAAAAAAAGTTACACGGACTTAACAAGTATTAATGGTCAATAATTGTCAATCGAGGAAAATAACACAAATCCAAAAATCAATAGACGGAACAAAGCCACAGAAAAACAATGAATCACAAAAGCGACGTACCGTATCCGTATCTTGGGATACTTTTTACGAGAAAAGCAAAAAAAAAACGATGTTGACGATGAATGGAGCGCGCGAATGACAAGGTAAGGCTGAGTTCACACATGTGATAAAGTATTACATTATATTAGCTGTTGGGCAAGCTCTGCTGTGTACAGAGGGCAGGGAGAAATCGCTACATGTTCCCAAGTCGGATTGGCGATCTTCCAAATTATGTTTTATTTACAGGAAAGCATATTTCCGCCATTGTTTCGAGATATCTAATTCGCTCGCAAAAATACCGCTTTCTCATTTGTAAACAACTCTATGAATGAAAGTCTACTCATAGACGATCCACGCTTGACGATACTCACTGCATTACGTCATCGCTCATTATGTTATCAGATTCAGGGTAACATAAAAAAAGCTACCGAGTCACCAATTTAAAGAAAAGTCGGGCCATAGCAAACCGCACCTGATATGTAATAATCATAATATAATTTCACATTTATCTCTTTACTTTCAAATAATACAATCAACTGTATGATTTGAAAGTAATTTTAATCAGTGATGCGCACCATATTATCCATTTAAGTTAGTAGCGTGTTCATAGCGGCTGTCCCGTTTATATTCTTCAATTTTTAAATATCTATCCTACAAGTCTTTCTACGGTGGTAGGGCCACACAGCGGCCTCGGCTGTTGCACGAATGGGCAGGCCCGTCCGGGTAAGCACCACGACCTCACAGAAGACTAGCGTAAAGTGGAAGTATGACAAATACTTTCGCGTTTCGTCTGGTGAGTGAGGTAGCCGGAGCCCAATTTTCAAAAGGTTGTCACATCTGTAACCCTGGGGTGTAGCAGATGTCTATGTGCGGCGGTATTCACTTAACATCAGGTGACCCGTCTGCTCGTTTGGCAATTTTTCGCATAAAAAAGTCCTAATTTTATTAAAAATGCTTGTAAAATTGACAATATTTGACCAAATCAATCAAACATGTGCACTCAGCCTTATCACAACGAGAAACAGTGTCCGGCAAATGTGACATCAGTTAATACAATTTCACTGCACCATTTTAAACTTTTGAAACCGTATTACAAATCCACAGACACTGTCGAATGGACGATGAATGGACACCAACATAGGCTGGAAATGAATGACAGCGACATAAAAAAACCATAGACAAAAAAAAAGAAATGGAAATAAAAAAAATACCGCGATCGTACGTAGACACCGCTCGGAATCCTGGCCACGTTCCTATCGAACAAAATTAGTCTTTACTCACCACAGATAAATCACATTATTAAAGTGTTAATCCCAAGCTTCGTACAATAAAGCAAAGGTATTTACAGGCATCGTAATAAAATTGCATAAACAGTTATTGCGGTAATGTGCGGTGTTAAAAAAACTAAGGTATAGACTATAAGTTTAGAGACACATCTACTTCCTCGTAAAGAAGGCAATAATTGATTACCACCACAAATTGAAAAAAAATGGAGTGCATTCTTTAAATCTTAAACTTTACAAATGGGAGAGAAAAAAAATCTGTTTTATCTGTAGATAAAATCCAAGCAATTTATTTTCTTTTTTAGCGAACTCACTCGCTTTTTAAATCCGCTTGGATTTAAATTTTAACTAAGGCGTACGGATGGTAACATTATTTAACAATGTCACTTAGTATTGTTGATATGTTAAACAGACACTTCATCGGCTCTCCAAAGGATTACTGATCAAACATTGGCCCCAACATCACACAGTTAGGTGATGCCAATTCAAAAATAAAAAGAAAAAAAAAACGGAAAACGTTCCATTTCCGAACATTCCGACCGCGGCGCTCGCACTCACCGGTCGTGTCGACGGGGTCCCGCTGCGGTATTATCGAGTGCACGTATCGCGCGACGAAGTGGCCGAACACCGCCTTCAGGTCCGGGTTGTGCATCATGTCCACGAACTCGGCGAAGTCCAGGTAGCCGGAGTTGTCGCGGTCGGCCAGCGCCATAATCTTCTCCACCACGTTGTCGGGCAAGTCGTGGTCGTACTCGCGCGACTCTATTATGTTCTTCAGCTCCACGTACGATATCCTGCCGTCGTTGTCTCTGTCGTACTGCGAAGTTGAAGGAGCATATAAGACTTAACTTATTTTTATTTGAGACTAGCGACCCGCCCCGGCTTCGCACGGGTGCAATGTATTATACATATAGACCTTTCTCTTGAATTACTCTATCTAATAAAAAAACCGTATCAAATTATCATCTAAGCATACATAGGGACATGTAGACAGTGGGATGAGTTTGTTTTATACTATATTGTGTAGTGAAGGTGGCAAACGAGCTGGCGGTTCACCTGATGTTAAGTGATAACCGCCGCCCATTGACATTTGCAAAACCCGTAGGGTTGCCGATGCGTTGCCACCTTGTGTTGAAATGGACCCCGGCTAACCCACCAAACGAAACGTCGAAGTATAACACTTCCATTTCACGCCGGTCTCCTGCCCATTCTTGCCACAGAGAAGACTGTTGTGATGCCCTGCCACAGATAATATCAAAACTCGACAATAATGTCTAAAGAAAATTCGTTCTTGGCTCTGACAACAGATTTTAACTTTTCAACGACAAGACTCGTTGAAGTCACTAAACATAACACCATGGTGGAAGAACTACATGCAGTTAGTTCAACTGATGTCACTAAATTATCACTACCCATGTAAATCAACAACAACCAGTTGGCTAGACTGGCCGGTGCAGTGCCAACCTCTTAGGGAGGCCCCCCTTTTTGGAATGCAAAAGTACAAATGCTTTGATTTCCTGTCGGTTTTCTGCGAGACCTGCCCATTCGGGTACCACAATATTATTTTGTTCTGTCAAGACGATGTCCCACAGCCGGTCAATGATGTAGAACAAAGGCAGAGTCAGAAAGCCCAATGACATATTTAGTTTAATTCTAGTAGGTAGAGCCGTTTGCTCTCATTAACTTTTTTAAATTAATCTGGCCAGATGGGTAAAGCACTAGCTGCTTACAAGGTTATTTACGTATATCATAAAGAAAGATAGACGTTAGCAGATTGATCCAGTCCTTTGCTGAACGCTTGATGAACAACGAATACCGTCTAGTTTGACAAAGCTCGATGAAAATTTATGCGTATAAATTGGCATGGTATTAGTATTACACCGGTCGTGTCGAGGTCACCCGCTCGTAAGGACGAAAACCAGGCTATCGCGTCTGATAAGATTTGATATCATCGATATCTCAAGCCAATATTATACACGAAACAGTGATAAAGGGAGATAAAAGGTAATAATCAATCAACACTAACACAAGATTTAAATATAAGAACAGAAATAACTCGTAAAATAACACTTTTCAGGTTAAATTCACGATGGACCAAGATGAAACACTCAAGTCGTGAACTGTTCGCCATTTGGGGAATTTTAAAACAAATTAAGCGCGACCTAATCTGTGAAGAAGTTTTATATGCCAATACAAGAATCGTCATCATCCGCCTGCCCAGTGGCGGATTTGCCCTAAGGCCCGGGCCTAGAGCGGCCACATATTAGGGGCGGCCAATTGTGACAAAAATCACTGATGATAACATGATATATGATGGGCGCTGAGAAAGGGGCGGCTGAATCTTACTAGTTGGGCTGGGGCCTAGGGCGGCCAAGACTACACTCCTGTCCTTATCCCACCTATGTGGGGTCGACACAACATATGAATCATCTTGTAAGCGGTTTTGGGTGGTTTTTTACGACCGGCCACCTGCCTGACGTCAACCCACCTTGGGAAACAAACTCAGATCCGGAAAATTTTTCTGTGGTTCACACAAATACTTGTCCTGTGTGGGAATCGAACCCACGACCGCTGACGCCGAAGCCAATAGCTTAGCAACGGCGCTACCGAGTACGCAAATACGTGATATACAATAAAGTAGGTAGTCTTTGCTAAAAGGTGAACATTATAAATTTTAGTAATTTTTCTGATCGTATGTTTTGTCGTATTACAGTCATATAAAGTTCAAGCTGCATATTATGATATAACATGTATTTTTTGAAAGTAAGACTAATTAAGGGATTGTATTCGCTTTTAATTCAGGTTTGAGCACGGACTCTGTAAAGTGATCGAAATGTTATAAATCAAAACTAAATAATTAGAATTCTCTAATGATAAAGAAATACTTCTTTATTCTACTTTATTATGCACGAACAAGTCAATATTTTTAAAAAGTAATTTTGTAACGAATAACAGTTATTGCAATAATCCGTAGTGTATTGCTTACAAACATCTGTTGTGTCTAAGGTTAACATTTTTAAAATTTTGGTTAAACTACTGTTTCGCCGGCTAACACAAACATTAGGTCACGTACGAACGAGGCCAGTGTAACTAAAGTAAATATTTGAGTTCACTGTTGAACCGAACATTCTCCTTAGCAGTATTACTTAAAGTGTACCAATTTGTAGTAGGTTAAAATATACTGCGAAAGTCAGTCAAGTCAAGCAAACCAAGCGTTTTCAAATTATCATTACACTAGCTGTTGACCGCGGCTTCGTCCGCGCGGTCTGAGGGAATTACAAATGAGTTTTTTATTATTTAGCTCGCAGATGGCATAATATTTACTACTTAATTGATACTTATATTTTAGACAATTCACACGTTATCTTTATTAATTATAGCCCGAAGTTTCGCGTTTATAATATTATCATATCATATCCATCATTGTATATCAATTTCGTAATAGTGTCCTAATAAATACTATTATCATTTATATCATCATGAACGATGTTTGGAATTAATCCTCAGCATCGTTTTGGTCCTTCGAGCTGGATTGACATATGTCAACGTTTTCTAGTAGTAGGTTTACTGTACGTGATACTTTATATTGAGCAACTTAGCTTGTCCAATTTGTATGAAAGAACCATAAAATGCCCCAGCATTAGTTTATGCCAGCAGTTTAGCATTTTATAGTTCATTTTATTCGCGTTCACTGCTTATAGTAAAATAATGTCTATTAAACTGTAGTTTAGTTAGGGTGATATTGTAATTAGGGTTGTAATGTGATTTTGAAGAATTATGTACAAACTTGTATAAAATACAAAATCTCACCGAAAGGCTTGTTTCTATTTCGTTTTTAATCGTTGCTTTTAGGTTTATTTCTGACCACAATAGTCGTGCCTTCGGAAAAATATGGCACTATTATTACTACGTATTCAAATCGGCTACATCAAATCCGGTTTTTCCTCATTCCGAGAATTATGTAAATTAGGTGTCTCGGAGTAATTTCTTTATTCATAAAAGTATAATATTATACGAAAAAAAAAAACGGTTTGCCCACAGCTACACAAGTCGGTGTTGCTAAACCACTAAGTTAGCACCGATTCATAAATTCGGGGGTGATCGAATCATTGTTATTTCACCGCGCGTTATAATCTAATCAGTTGAAAGCAAACAGCGCAATCTCCATGTGACTAACGTTCACATAACAAGAAGTGGAGGATGCTTAGAGATATTTGCAGGCCATTGGCGAAGTGCCCTTTAGTTCGATTGCAATTAATGAAAAACCAATCGCGAGACGGAATCGCGCACGAAGGGTTCCGTGCCATTCCGTACCATCTATAATAATCAGGTCTGTTGTATGGGAGCCCCACATAAATAATTTTTTATTCTGTTTTTGAGTATTTGTTGTTATAGCGGCAACAGAAATATATCACCTGTGAAAATTTCAACCGTCTATCTATCACGGTTCATGAGATACACCCTGATGACAGACAGACGGATAAACAGACAGGGAGCTGAGTCTTAGTAATAGGGTCCCGTTTTACCCTATGGGTAGGGAAACCTAAAAATATTTGTACAGTCTACAAACAGCGGTGCAGGACCTGCGTATTTCTCTATGTGTAATTCATCCATCACCACGATGACTTCGTGGTGCAGTCGCAAAGGCATTGGCTTCGGCGTCGGGGCTCGTGGGTTCGATTCCCACACGAGACAACTATTTGAGTGACCCGCAGATAATTGTTTCGGATCTGGGTGTTTGTCCACGTGAAATTTATGTATGTAAAACGTCCTTACAAAAACAATATTATGTTCTCCTACAGTAAGGGGCAATGTTTTCGAAAGTAAGACTACGATAGATGTTCTAATTCGCAGTGGTCATTGGGACTTACTTCCCAAACCCATTCAAAATACAAACATAAATAAAATGAGTAATTCATGTTTGTAGGACACTTCTACCACAGATGATAATTTTATCGTTCGGTGTGATTAATAATTTTAAAAATCACGCCGACATTGTTGTGTGACCTTGAGCAAGAGACTCAAAGAAGCGTTGCGGCAACTCGTCGGGAAGAGCCACAGGTTAATACAGTTGAGGTCCATGGGCGGGAGGTAAAGTTGTTGCCTGCTTCGATTCAAGGAGGCTTTCAAGTGCGAGTGGTAGAAAATTACAGACTAAAGGTCATCGTATAAGAAACTCGACCGCAAAGCGAGCATACGGCCGTTGCGTTGAGGTCGGTTTCCATCCGTCGGGAAACCACAACTCGTCCCTAATAACAATACGAATCAGCATTAAAGCGGAGTTAAGAATTAATTTAAAACAAATGTTATTCTAGACAAGCAACAATAAGTTCCGATGTTCAAGATCGTTTAGATAAATACTAACACAGGATTCTTACACCATAACTAAATAGTGGACACCCCATTAAATTAAATTTCATTGTAGAAATAATTATTATTCGCAGCCTAAATATCTCTACCATGGACCTCTCTGGTCCTCAGATCGATCTCGTGGGTAATCAGTCTCCGTATGGTCTTTGGAAAGCTTGGACACAGACTACCCTAATGGCCAGGGCCTATTATAATGTCGAAACATAAATTGAAGACAAGGATGTGTGGAAACGACTCTTGCTCTGCACTTGCAGTTCCCGTGGCTGCTGATGATTTTATACTTAAACTAGCTACGCCCGCGACTTCGTCCGCGTGGAATTTAATATTAATAACATTTCTAAAATAAAATTAGTTCTTATTACATCAGCTACCTGCCAGTGAAAGTCCCGTCAAAATCGGTAAAGCCGTTTCAGAGATTAGCCGGAACGAACAGACAAACGAGAAAAA